ATTCTGCTGTTTCCAAATATTGGGTTGAGCTGGCAAAGAGAGGATGTCATTAGTCTGTTGTACTGCTAATAGCAGCAGATACCCCAAACTGCCCAGAAAGGCTTTGAGAAAATCATACTTACCAACGAGATCAAGGCTTTCTCAGTAGCATTGAACCGGGCAGAATGAGGAGATCCCAGTTGTGAATCATATTTGAAATTGGTTATGGTGAAGTTCACAGTGAAATGTTCAATTGCTGGAGCGGGGGTTGAGATTGGCAAAACAGCTGCAAAAAATGAAATAACAGAATGAAAAATCAATGATCTCAGCCCTTCAGACGCACTGGAACACATCTCTAATTCCCCAGATCCATGCTTACGCAAATCGCAAATGGGATTTTATTTCCCGCCCCCACCACAAGGGTACTGCGGATAGTTCTCCTTAGAGAGGCAATTCCATTCCATTGTGAGCAGATTCACAGTTCTAGACAAGCTCTATTCACCGCCTGTCTTGTATTAATCTTTGAAAGTTTGTATCTTTCCCATTTTTTCATTAAGGATCATTCTGAACTATACTCACTTGGCAGAGCTGGTGCTTCGTTATAACCTGGAATGACAAGGGAAAATGATTAGAGGGCAGCTAGACAGGTGGGTAGGGAAGGAAGTGAGAAATAGGATGGTCCAGAAAGAGCAGTAGAGCATAAAACCATCACTGACTTTCTATGGTTCTAAGGTGCCACAAGTACTCCTGTTCTTTTTGCAGATACAGACTAACACGGCTGCTACTCTGAAACCTTTCTATGGTCCGTGGTTATTCTGGGGTTGGGACGCTTTCTTGCTATATGTCCTCTTTAACGTCCATCAAATATATCACGTCTCTATTGTTACATTGGTGCAATCAATTACATAGAACGGACAAGCTGTAAAGAAATCATCTGGTTACCATTGACGTAGAGGCTGTCCTTGTCCAGGGTGTAGGGGCCGAGCTTGGTGATGCCATTTGTCTTGTTGCGGATTTCATGGTAAACACCCACTCTGTCAAACGGGGGAGCAGTGGAGTCGCGCCTGTAGGTGCAGACGGCATCTACCCCTGTGTCATTCCCAGCTCTCACCGGTCTACAAGAGAAAAGCCAATGTCAGATTTGTTCATGTGTTTAAATTGTTTGCTAATGATGAAGAGATATGTTTCATTCTGGGATCTCATTGTTACCATAAGATGATAATTCATAAGTACACCTATTAATGGAATCTAAATTAATCCCCTTAACGATGTTCTACCAATCAAGAATATAAATAGGCCATTTATAAAGCTCTAAGCATTCAGTCTCCTCCAGAAACCTATGCTGACATTAACAAGTTCTTCTTCCAACCACAGTGGCAGAAGTATCGTAGGGCTTAATTATGGAAGAGGGAAATATTTCCGCTTCATTCTGATGCTAAACCAACTGATAGGAAATGTGTGCTCAGAGTGTAGTGTTATAAATAAATATTAGTGCCTGGATCCTTACC